CAGCAATCCCACCGAAAATGTGTTTTTCGTTATTGCGCACAACCTTCTGCCAAAATGCCGTAAAACTTTCAGTTTTGGTTTTCCAGAACTGAGCAGGTCTCCCAACAAATCGTCTAATCGGCGGTTAAAATCGTCTCTAAAATAGGAACAGGCGTTGTTCATATGGTTTGCAAGAGAGCGGGACAAGTGATCATCTGATAGTGCGATGCCTGAGAAGTACATCGGGTACAAATATGCCTCCCAGTCAAGTCTTGCACAGTTTTGACGGTATTTGCCGTACGGAGCCGCATTTTGTCAGGGAAGAAAAACTCTTTGGACCTGTCTTTTGAGTCATTTCTGCAGTAGGATTCGTTTAGACAGTGCTAATGGGTTGGTGATATGACCAACTGTTTTGCTCCTGTTTAGCAACTTCCAGTGCAGAACCTCCTGCCCGTCCTGCAGAAAGTCTTGTTCAAAGCACACTTAAAATTCCGCATTTGGAAGCTGAAAATCGAAATGGTCAACTTTTCTAGAAAACATTAGGTTTATTATAAAGAGCTGATTAGCTCTTTTCAACGAATGTGCAACTTGCTGCAAATCAACCCCCTTTCAGAGACATTAGAACGAGAATGAAAAGAGAAGTTAGAGAATTAGCTGCAGCTAAAGGGAAGTTGGCAATATATGCTAATTTCTTCAGCCTTTTCACAAGTTTACCGCATAATGGTGTAAGGCACAATCTGAAAAATATGCGTTTACGTATGAAAGGATATAAGTACATGGAAATGAATGGTAACAGAGTGTTATATGCGAACACAAAGTTGACAGAAGGAATGTTTTATCAGATAGAAGACGTTATATACATGATAGATTCATTTAACTTCAAGCTTCCTATGCTTTGGGTGGGGGGGGGGGGGGACAAGCTGTATATCAAAAATTAGAGCATCGCTCAAGGTACATCGTGTACTCCACAATTACCGATCTTACCCAAGTATTTTGTTGATTATGAGTTTATAAAAGACCAGATAGGAACATTGGATAACCAGAAGAGATTCATGTTCAACCATACGTATAAGTACATGGACAAGATCTTCCCTATCACTTTTTGCAGAAAATTTCAAAAATTTTGGGAACCATGCATGATCAGTCTTTGATAATAGAAAAAAATCATACGGAAAGAACAACAAGCTTTTTTGGCCTTACCATAACTAAAACTAACTTTGGTAGTTTAAATTATAGGCATGCCTTGTCCTGCCCGTTTTATGAGCCACGGATCTAGTCAAAGGACGAGATTGCGCATGAAAAACGCGTCCTGCTGTTATAACCTACCCCTTTTCATCTTTCCCGCTTCCAACTGCTTCATTCTCACCCTCCCTCTCCCCCCCTTCTCTTTCGTTTTTCGGTTCGGCAGCCTATATCCACCTGTACGGTGCATTGTAAATACAAATGCCTTCTGACCGCGGAATGAGAATGAGCTTCTGTGCTATCGTCTACACCAAAACGTGTAAGCGGTTTGATAGCGGTTGATAAATTTTACTTTTACTGCAGACGGCTAAAAATCAGTAAATCGACAGAAGGGCCCATCGAAATTGCCGCGAGAAGTAGATCACTCATTCAGTCTCATGGCTGGCGCTCTTATAAACTGACAACTACAATTTCAGAGTTAGATTTCAGTTATCATCACTGGATGTCAAACATACCCCTGTATATACCGATCAATGCACTGACAACAGATGTATTACGAATTTATTGAAACTGTACCTCTTATACAGATTTCAAAGATAGATTGGCAGAAGTTAGCCACACGCTGAAGCATAACGGGTGGGATTGCAGCAACTTCATACATGCGTTATTCCATACCCTTAACGACCTATTATATTACTCAAATACGAGTTCAGCACAGCAGTACACCTTCCACTACTCAGTCGTAGCTCTCGTGCGACCTGGGGCGGTATCAATCTCCCGCTCGCCGTTCGGGCGCTTTCCATCGTTATACACAGCCCGGACAGGCGAGAGCGTCGAGACCGTGATTTTTGTGAGATTATTTAGCATGGCCTAAATGGGCAGCAGAGCCCGATCTGTCGATATCGGGCCTGCCGTGCCCGACATGGCCAAACTTGCCAGCCCCTTGAACTAATGCAGTGTCCTGGGTGAGATCCAGATAGTATGGGTGTGATGGGAATTTCTGATAATCAATGTGATTCATTCTAGCCTTCCATTAACCAATTGATATTTACTGTTCTCAATAAGCCAAAAATATAACTTCTTGATACATTTTTGCACTTCTAACTTATCCCCCTGCTATGATTTGTTCTATAATACAAAATATTTAACGAGCTACTAATATTTGAATACGATTAGCCGTTTTCAGTGCTCACTAAAAGAATAATTCTAATCCCTATCTATATATTCTCTATCTAACTTTACAATTGTGGAAGCGATCACTAAATGCGCATGTAAATGCAAAGAATGTGCTCAATGACCGAAAGGAAAGAACAGAACAGTAAAAAACGATAAGTTTCATGTCTTTACCATATGCAAAGTCTACGCCAGCAGGCGTTCTTGATATGCACCCGCTCACGCACCTGGCGCGCCGCTTTAGACAGAGGTTCCCAAATAGATGTGAAAGGATGGCACTAGACTGATAAATACTCCCTGGGAATAAGCTATCATATATAGGCGGGGGGGGGGGCGATTGAGATCAAGATAGAGGAATTCAGCATGGAGTCGTTGCCACTCATGCGTTTGTTCCACTTTTACCTCAGTCTTCCTTTCCTTCTTCCCCTATCTTCACCTAGTCACCTCGTTTCCATAAGTTTTACCTTGCATGCTTCTTTTGATGAGGGGAGGCAAGAAAGCCACACTCCGGTATATAAGCCTCGAAACCGGTGTGTGAAAATTATTCAATGATTCTCAGTGCTATTACATTAACTATCGTGTTCCATCCCACGAAACCGTGTGGGGAATGCCTTGCGTCTATTGTTTCGTCAATATTGCAAACCGACCTAGTAATGGAATGGTCAGAAGCGATATTAATCAACCATAAGTGGCTAGACAAGCGAGAGTATCCATCCCGTGGTGCATGAAGCGTTGGGGCGCGTGTCGTGAACGGGCATCAGAACCCGACCTGCGAGAGCGGGACCATACCCTAGATACATAGAGCTATGTACTGTGGTAACCTTCATTTTGAGCGCATGATAAAAACACAATCTTCACCTTGAGAAACCAAAAACCCACCCGGGTCAAAGCCCCGGAAGTTAAAACTCTGACTATATCGGAGTGAATGTGAATGAAGCAAAGAAGGAAATAATATCTTTAGATTATCTCAGCGAGACCGAGAATTTGCTTTTTATAGCCTTTTACGTTGAATAAGAAGGTTTCCGTGGGCGTTTTTCAAGAATCAAGACGACACTCACTTAACCTCTTAATTGACTAGAATTGAGTTTCAAAAGTTCAGAGAAGCTTTTGAAGTTGAATAAAAACGCGAAGCTGCGCTCAAATCTTGCGCAGGGACTCGCGCACAAAAATGCTGGTCTATCTCGTTAATGAGTGATTTTCAGCGCTAGGGACGCTGTCAGTGCTCCTCATGGTGTCATGACGATCAGAATGATATACGACTTGCAGGGTTTCGTTTAACCCCCGGCCCTGTCGGCTCTGGTCTGTCTCCGCTGTTCGTCTGCGTCTCCGCGCGCTGCGTGCTACCTTGCTATCCCAAACGCGGGCGCGGGGCATTTGGCTCTGGTATTCTTTTCTTCGTTGTTTCGAACCCGATTTCACCAAGCTATAGACCATTGGAAGCTCTTGATCTCTACTTTCACGCTGACAACGTCCCAAAACCGCATCTTTTGATCCGAACGAGAAATTCGACAAAAACCTTGTTTTCGAAAACCTCTTGTTGTTTCCTTCGCTTAATTTTTTCAGGCGATTTTTTCGTGTATTCTATAGATCTTGCTTTTGTTCGTAACGCACACGACGACTCAGTGCTTATCTCTCGATTAAGGCGAATTTATTTGAAAAATCGTAAAAAGTGCGTTTTTCTTTACCTCGTTCTGTTTCAGAGCTTTCGCAGCAATTTTTTCCAGCTTGCACGATTATTGTTGAGGATAACGAGCGTAACAATTTAAGCAACGTCCCGGAAACGCCACAATGCAGGGGTATAAATTTAAAGGACGCACCACTAACTAGGTTGGCTTTGACGCGCATTTAGACTTGGCAAGAACAAAACTTTGCGTTTCAAAAACTAATTCTTTTCTTGTTTAACCTCTATTGATAATCGTTACTTTCGAAACATGGTTGGTTTTGGGTAAACACAAAAAAAAACTCTTTCTTTTCTTCGTTTTCCCCGTGTTGTGGATTACGTGATCCTGGAGCGAAAACATGCAATGCCGCCAAATGAAAGATTTTAAACTTGTTGCGGCGTTTTTATCCGATTAAGAGTTTCTTTTGCTTTTGTTAAGTGTTTCGCATCTTTTTTCTTTTCTGGTCTTATATGAACAACCTTCACTTTTTATGAGGGGCGGCTGTTCAAACAACCTTCACTTTTGAAGCCCTGTCTCTAAATTATCGAAGGTATGATCGGCACCTCCATGTCCGTCAAGGCCAAACTTGCCAGTTCGGACCTTTCAGCCCTTGGGCGGTGTTTTCCGATCTCCTACATCGGATTCATCGGCTTCATGTCCGTTTGGGAATCTACTGAGGTGAGGAGCACGCCAGCGCGCGGGCGCATATCAAGAACGCCTACTGGTGTAAACTTTGCTGTCGCAAAACACGAAAACCCATAGTTTCTTTTGACTTTTCTCTTCCCTTTCGGTCCTCGAGCACAGTTTTTGTGATTATATTCACCTTTAAGGATCACGTCAGCAATAGTAAAGCAGATACAGAATTGGGGGTCATTTTTCTTAGAAACTACCGGATACGGCCAATTCCTCCCGAGTATCAGTCATTTGCTTAGATCTACGGTGTGAACTGAGTCAACTTCTTCATAATTCAACATATTTGCATATCATGCTCGAGTACTTTTGCAGGTATTACGAATCGTCTGATTCCACATTCTGTAATACTGTCCATCTGTGTCTATGGCTGCTTTTTTTGGTTGTGCCGTTAATGATAGGGCTCGTCACGTCCGGCACACTTTCGCTATGGCTATCTATCGGATATACTTGTTTCATTGGCATTCTGTTTGCAATATTAAAAGTGAGTAAACGTCAAATTTTTTTACATGATACAGAATACTTCAAGGCTATTGTCTCACATCTTCATGTTACTTTTGATCGTTCCGAACCAAAAGCCAGCTCGGATTTGCATGATACTTCAATTGAACTTAATCTTGATAACATAGGTCTGTGATGTTATTGCTATAAATTTATCAACTTTGTCACCATGTCATTTTTAGAATATGGGAACGATGCTACAGATACAGTTGAGTTAGGTGGTGTTCGAAGAAGCAACACTGATGAAACGATTAATCACCTCCCAAGGTTGACGGTGGGTGCTCAAGCGCGATGACATGGCAGATTATAACTTGAGCAGCCTAACATACTTTTTTTAAATTTATTAATCTGATAAGAGGCGTGCCACATTTTGAACAATCAACGAAAGCGCTTAGGACATAATGGGTGGCAAGAAACAAAGAAACCTACATAAAGTCAGCTTAAGTCCAGCCTTTTGAAAGTAGGAAGGGTTAAGCTTGTTGAAGTCATTATGAAATCATAATGAGATCATATGTAGAGGCTCAGTGGAGTCTGTGTATAGCCCCTATCAGCAGGGAAAGTTCTCATTGATTAATCATCGTAAGTAAATGTGTAGCGAGGAAAAGGGTGTATTGGCAAAATCCGCACAGTCAATTTTTGAGGAGAGGAGCAGAGCTCCGGAAGAGATTGCGCAATGCAGAAAATGGATGAAGCCAACAAGCTATTCCCAAATAGCAACGGAACGGACGCACCGGACCCAAAAACCAACTGTAAACGAAGTATAAGTTGTTGAAATTTCAACTTGACACGGTTACTCTAGCTTCCCAGATTCTACAATCAGTGCAGCCATAGGGAAAAACAAGCAAGACTCGATGTATTCGTTTAGCTAATCAGGAGCAACCATGTGAAGTTGATCGTATGACAGTTTAGAGTAACGGTGTGGTGACAGAAATTTGCATTTGCTCCATGGATCGTGAGGTTTACTCCACTTTGTATAGTTTATTCGTTGATCGCACGCACTGGACATCACTACGGAGCACTCGCCGCCAGGTAAAATGCTTTCCCAGTACGAATTTGCCATTGTACAAGTCGCGAGCGCGTGGTCCACAGCGTTTGAGCAGTCCTGCGGTCAAGGAATCGACAATACATTTTTCATGTGACTAGATTCCTCGATGGAGTCGTACAGAATACAAGCCGGAAATTACAGATTAGAAGTATCACACTTATGTGATGCATTAGAAGTATCAGACTGCCACACTAATGTCCTTTCGGCATACGCGGACTCAACCGGTGTAGAAAATTGATCAGATATAAACTGATAGGAAAGTGCTATTCGCCTACAAACATAAACCTTGTGAGTGTGTGACACCTTCCCCCCCCCCCTCCCCTTCGCCACCCATATGGCAAGGATGATAAGGAGGGCTGTAAGCTCACCCTTCCCGCGCACTGAGGGCCGCATGCACTAACATTATCGCCGGGGAGGGGATCGCGCCTCAAAAGAAAGCTTCATATCCTAAAGCTCCGACAACTGGATTTCACGCCGTATGACCTATCCGTAGGTATTCCCACCATCCTTTACTAGAAATTATTGAACAGGGGAAGAAGCTATACAAGCTCATTTTCCAGCTTTTTGTATGATCCCCTGATGATCCCCGGTGGCCGACCGTCTTTCCTTTAAAGTCATTTTTCCTTCTTCAAAGTTGACGATTCGTCTAACCTAACAGTGCTAAGCATGTTGCTGATAAGGACAAATGGATATTCAGAACATCGATTTTTTCGATAAAACCCAACTTTCTACTTGTGGTTCACCGCAAATTTCATGATTCCGAGAAAACATTTGTTCTTATCAGCAACATGCTTAGCACTGTTGGTTCAGATAATCGGTACACTCTGGAGTGTTCTCATTAACTTCGAAGAAAGAAAAATGATTTAAACACGTTTACGATTAGGTTTTTTTTGAATACTGTCGTTTTGGACCAGAGCCTTTTTCGCTTTGTAAAGCTTACAACCCACCTGCAGGTCGTATTGTACGAAATCAGTCTTTAAAAAATCCAAGTCATGTCTCTAAAAATTCCTCCAAATAGGTTATCGAAGGCGCTTGATTTGTATTTCAGTTTTTGGCGAATACTTACGGATAGGTAGACGGCGTAAAATCCAGATATCTGGAGCTTCAAATATGAATCTTTCATTTGAGCTGCGATCCCCTCCCCGGCGGCGATGTTAATGGCATGCGGCCCTAAGATTGGTGGGAAAGGGAGCATCGTGCTTGCATCTCCCACTACGGCATAAACAGGAACGGAATTAGTTGTGAAGTGCTTAGGAAAAAGTGTTATTCACTTGTTCTCAAAGATTGGAGGACGGACGTACTTTTGAGCTTACTTCCAAAGTTTACACTTGTCACTTTTGAGCTTACTTCCAAAGTTTACACTTGTCAATGATCCAGGCACTTCCCTAAGCAGTAGTTTTGGCCGTCAAACTGTACGACGAAAAAAAATGAGATTGCCAATATGTAATGTGAATTCGGTAACGTCCCCAGATTCGTATTTTGTCAACTCCATGTGGTTGAACTCGGACGAATTACCTAATACTAAGTCGTCCATTTCCTTTTCAAAGCGCAGAAAGAAACTTGAGATCATTTCAGGAGCCTACGTAGAGAAGAAGTCTTCAACCTTTTCTTGTAGCTGGGTATGAATAAGGCTCCGGCAAGAATGTGAAATTTAGTAAAATCGAAAATGAATTGTAGTGAAATCTAGTAATCTAGTGAATGTCTTGAACTTCCTCTACTTTTCATACTTTTTGGCTGAACCTGCGAACTATCATCAAGGTGGGAAAGCCCATGGACTTTGTACAGCCATAACCATTGAAGCGTTTCCAATGTGCGTGCTCTAAAAGAGCGCGAAAGTGTCGTGTAAGCTTCAGCAACTGCCTACATATGGTTAATCTTGCAACTAATCTTACACACAATCAATAAAATTTGTTGTTGTTGTAGAACCTCTCAGGAATTCATGCTGTTTTAAGGTTCTTTGGATGTGATAAAAGCAGAATGATGCTCCGAATAATAGGTTCATTTTTATTTTAGTGATCTGCAAGCAATTTGAACAAAGAGCCTGCGCCTATCAAATAATCAGACAGATCAGACAAGTGCAATTAGGACCACATCAGAACAAGCTTTCCTGATTATGAGACACTCACCTGTCTGATTGTTGTACTCAAATCATTATGAACGCAGTCGCTGTAGCGGCTGAAAACAGCCCTGCACTCGGGCGTCGCTGCGAAGATGAAAAACTACAACCCTTGCATGATACTCAGTGGCACTCACACTTTCAGTCGCACCTCGTATTTGCCATAGTGCATCAAGCCTCTATTTTGTAGGATGACAGCGATGATGATACGCATGACGAAATTCTCGAAACGCAAGTCAGAGTTGTAATTGTGGAAACTCTGAACAAGGACAGCGACATTCCACTGCCTGTGTACGTCATTATTATCTATTTATTGTGGGCTTACACTTCCAGATTGTAGTGAAGAAAATCATGTGGATATAACAGCAGAGATAAAGACTTCTCTCGCAGAGTTGGACCCTTCGGAATCATCAAGTATACCAGAAAGGCGGAGAAATGGTTGGTAAAATTAGACTATTGAGGTGAAACACCTTATACTACGTCGTACAAGAGAGCACGAGTTGAGTGTCATAAACACATTTTGGACATTAATGTTCAAAACTAGTTTGGGCTTTTTTAGGAAAGGTAGGAGCAAAATTACGAAACGCTCTCATTTCTTTGCCAAATTGTGCATTGCCACGCCCATCAAATACTAGGTTGTTCCGAAAGTTCTGTTCGATTTGCAGATTTTCTGATTAAAAATGTTATAACTCTTTTCAAAATCAACTTCTTTAAACAAATTGAATTTTATTGGATTCAGCGAGTTTATATTTATCATGGGCACAGTATGTGATGTAGAGGGGACAAACAAGATAGAAGAGAAAATTTGGGGAATTGTGTAAGGTTCTCTTTAAAACCGTCTACTTTGACGTACTGATGTTTCCACATAAAGATAGCCAGACATGTTTGGCTGCCATCATTGAGTAGTCTACACTTCAAAGATTCTTTTATGGCTAAAAAGAACTTGAGTTACTTTGCTGCACAGAAATTTTTACGAGCAAATAAAAAAACCTTATTTGAGTTCCCCTCCGAGCGCGCACATATGCCGACTTTCTAATATTTAGTTTTTTCTTGCTATCGCGAACGAAGAAAGCTAATTGGCCGATGGTCCCCGCTTGCTCTCGCTTTACACTGTCATATGCAGGGATGCACCACCTGTTATTATAAGTAGATTGTTGTTGCTTCTTGAATAACTAAGTCGTTCACCTAGAAAAAAATTGGGAAACTAAGGTATACTTTTTGTCGGATATGTTAGCCCACTGCACCCTGAGTTAACATAAAGTATTACATATTTAATTGCGGGTATAATGCGGAAATTCTCTTCAAAGAAACTTTTTCTTGAGCATGACTTTATTTTGGCTTGTCTTCGGGACTTGGCCTTTCATCACTGGGAAGTTGTTTCGTGGAGCGCTAAAAACAGGGCTCGGCACGAGGTGGCTTACAAGCAAGCTGGGTATCGTTTTTGGAACGAAAAGCAAAGGGGGTTTCGTTTTTGTGACCGAAGAGACACGGAAATTTGGCGACGGCGACCTTTTTTTTTAGTCAACGTTTCGTTTTTTGGGGGATTTTTCAGGTTTTTAGAGGAAATTTGGTTGAGGGTCAAAGGGGACTTCGTAAAAATTCCCAAAAGTCAAGGGGGACTTCCTTTTTTCCATTTTCATCTAGCCACCTCGTGCCGAGCCCTGGCTAAAAAAGCAAAAGAGTGCTTTCAGATTATGTTCATTTTTCTGCAACAAGTGCAAAACTCTAGGAAAATAGCTGCGCTAAAACAAGGCGACTAAAAATCGGACACAACTTTTGTAACAACCTAATATATTATTATTTTCTGAGCGAGACCTCACAGCTATATTTCTTAATATTGATTGCCTGCTTTTTTAAGCGCTCCAAACTCTGTAATCTGCCTTAGCTTGAGGTAAGAAAAGATGCTTTTTGAAAGTGGCCATTTGGAGTGGATTCATAGCATACTAGCTGGCAAACCCGGCTCTGCTCAGACCTTTCAATAATATTTTCGTAATCATCATGCTCACTTACTTTTCTGTGCCGACTCCCAGCCTCGTGGGTGAGTGAAACTTTGCAAAATTATAAAACAAAATTAAACCGATCAATGACGAGAAGTAGCCTGCAACACCCGCCCTGCTGCAAAGTGCCAAGATACTGATCGGTACAGAAATAAATTTTATTTATCTTCTTTTGAGCCACACACGAGATTTGGTAACTTATCTATTCACTGGCAATTGATTTGTTTACTCCACGGCCAACATTTTGGCAGACCGCCTTCGTCGGAGCCTATAAGGGACAAATGATCTGCAGCCGATTCGAGCAAGTATCTTTACAGCTGAAGATAAAACGCTAAACCTTGTTTTCGATCACTAAGTCAGCTGCACGTACAAGCACGTATTCTCTGGATTACGCCGATAGTTCTCTAATAAGGAGAAAGTCGGAGGTCCACGTCTCCGCTGCTAGAGTAAGTTGGATCTGTTAGACATGTATGCACACCGCTACTTACAAGGGAAGTGTGTTTGGTCGAAGTGGCCTTTCCAGATGAGACCCATACTGCTTTGAAGAGCATTAAGCGATGATTCCAAATCTGCCTACAAAATCTGCTCAGCGCCTCTGGATGCCGAGTTATGACCGTTTTTAAGAGCGAAAAATGAATGCAAAATTTAGGTGAAATCGATTGTTACAATCTTTCCAGCGTTCAGATAAAGTAATGTTTAGTATTAGCATATTAGACAAAATGTTTCCATTGCAGCTGACGGCTCTGACACTTGACACTGGACCATTTGAGCAAATATGAACGATTTTGCTTCAGTTTTGCGTTCAATTTTTTGCCTGAAAAACACCCATAACTCGGCATCCAGAGGCGCGGAGCAGATTTGGAAGGTAGATTTGGAATCACCGCCTAATGCTCTTCAAAGCAGTATGGGTCTCATCTGGAAAGGCCACTTCGACTAAACACACTTTCCTTGTTAGATATATACTGCTAGATCAGAATAACTGATACAGATAAGATGAGAGTTCATACGTAATTGCTAGGGTTTCTGGATCCATGTGCCAAGATTCTCATCGAAATTCCAAAGTTGCAGTACTCTGTAGGTGCTTAAAGTTGTCGAAGTACGTGCTTTATTTCTGCCGTCTATATGTTCTCTGATACGGACTAGTAGAAGAGGAAAGAATAGCAAAGATGAAAAAGGAGCAGAGTACGAACTAAGCAAACTGATAATATGCACTCTGTTAAGCGTGCTGCTCTGCGGGACCTATGCGCGATTTCTCGCTTCCCACTTCTTTGAACATGGTTTGCGATTTCATATTATTAGATGCATAGTGGTAATACCGTTTCACCTATGTGTTTATTGCCGCAACCCGTGTATAAGAGTAAATTGACTCCAGTCGCATGCAATACTCTTCTCTTCTTGTAGGGCAGATTATGCGATTCGGGGTGAGACAGTGCGATACATGCGTTTGCGAACCAAAAAGGTTTTCATCTTATCTGATGTTAGTTCTGCAATCCTAACCGGATTTTCAAATCCCACTCTCTCCAAACATTGTCGCAATAATGTGCTCACTTTTTTCGATATGTATGGTGCAAAATGTAACTTTTTTGACAACATGAGAGTCATCTGTCTGTACGCAATTTTTATCACTCATTTTCGTCCTTTCAGCATGCCGTTTATTTTTATCAGAAGCCGCTATACTACTGGCAAACGCTATCGATTCTTCCTTCTCTTTCGTACCATTGCAGACATGAGAAGAGGGACATGTTGTCATTGATTGCCGTTTTTGTCTATGATGGATGATGCTTAATTTGGAACATGTACAGACAGACAGGCAGACATACTTAAATACAAACAGACATCCAGCTTTATTTATATAGAAAATGCTTTAAGCGCTGAGTCCAGTCTGCCCTCGCTGAGAAACGATTTTGTAAAGAAATTTATGGACGTTTTTTCTGGAAACATTTGTGTATAGTTTTGGTCCAGTTATTGTATGATATGGATTACGATGCAGACTATCATTGTATTCAAACTAGATAATGCAAATTGAGCAAGAAGCTTGCTTTGGAAGTTTCACCGGCAACAGTGCAATTTTTTGAAGAAATAGTCATAGCTCCGTCCAGATAATCGTTTCGCAATTGAGGAGACATATTTTGAAGCCAACACTCAAATAAGAACCTATTGATATACACCTCATATTGAATAGTCGCGGTCACTACGTACTCTTCCCTTATTAGTTTAGAGGACCAACTATGCTGTTCATGAACTGCTTAGTCTCCTCACCTGTATGGCTTCCTCGCTCATATGAATGGTTTTGAAACTCACCGGGCAATGCTGGCGATCACGTATGATTTGAATACAAATACTCATTTCCAAAGCTTTCCAGGTGGGATCGGTAACGCTGAGAGAAAACTCTTTTGCGAGAGAAGGAAAGCGAAATCAAATCAGCTGCTAAATTCATTACGGCTCAATTGTTGCCATAAGTACAATAACACTGTGAGCTAATGAGCAAATATCCTTTCATTTTCTTCCGCAGAACCTCTGACAAATCGAGGGTTAAAGCAATCAATCTTTTTTGACGCCGCATTTGCAAAAAAATTGTTTTTAATCACCTTTGACCACGCAAGAGAGGGGTCAGTTATATTGTACTGTATCGTACGGTTTGCGTTAAACTTTTTGATTGTAGCCTCAGTGCACATTAGCTCTGAAGAGGTCCTTCAAATATCTTTGAAAATTTGAATCTAGATCTTTAGCACTTCTTCAAAGACCTCGGTAAAAACTTTATTTCAATTTCCAGGAACAAAAAGTGAGCAGTCTTTTGATTCTGCAATCTTAGAAGCAAAACCGCTGCAGAGCTCTCCGGGTTTGACTCGAAAAGATGATTCGGTAATTGCGAATTACACTTCATTTTTGACTTTATAGTGAAAGTTACTCTGAAGTTCAGATCATGCCTGAGTCCACTTATATCAGCAGTGAGAATGAGAGTCCTCTGCAATCTGCAACAACTATCTCCTTAACAAACGTTGAAGCTACCAGGTGACTACCATCGTTTTCTTTTTTTGTAAAAAAGACAGCTAATTCTGACGAGTGTAGAAAGTTCGTCTTGGCGGAAGTGATTATGAGATCTTATGCGGTAAACTGATAGATTCCAGCTGACTCACAGCTCAAGTCCGGTTCTTCATTAAGACAAGGTCAAGCATGGGGTGTGACACGCCATACCTTGACGGTCGCACGGAGGGGTCAGGGAGAAGGGTGGTAATCGAGGCAACAATGATGATAATAATAACTTGGCATTGCATGAGCTTGAAGAACCCCTCAAACAATGCATACTGGGATATCGACGTATCAAGGTATAGCTACCGTAGGTATGACAAAGTTTTGCCACGCAAAATGAGCATTCTATGTTCGACTGTCTATGAACCATTGATGGGAGTATCTTGACTGTGTGCTTCAACTGAGTAATCAAGAATGGTAGCAGTATTTATTGCACAGACTGACGTTTCAGCGCTGTCTGTTTAAATAGACACCTCGTCTATTACAGAGTAATCTTGCGATATATACTGCTGGTACTGCTTTGTAATGGGTGCGTTAAATTTACCTTCGAAACAAAATTAACATGTTTGAAGGTGACTGTTTCCCTTAGGTACCCTTTGCTTCAACCATATTGGCTGCTGGAAGGCAGGGCTTTATGACCTAGAGGCGAACATGCTCTTTGATCACTTTCTAGCCTTAATTAGGTCACAGACCCCGCCTTCCAGCAGCCGATCTGGTTGAAGGCAAAGAGTAGCTTGATTTTGAAAATCAGATCTCGCTCCAAGTTGCTGCATAGGAATTATTTGACACTAGCTGGCATACCCGGCTCCGCCCGGCCCTGTCGAAAACGATAAAGGTTCCATTTTTATCTCTGTACACCTTTACCTGTGCACACATCTACATGCAACTCCCTATCCACACTGTGTTAGGTGCTCACCTACCTTCCACACACCCCCCTCCCCAGCCCCGTAGCTCAAACTTTGCAAAAAAAAACAATAACATCTATAAAAGTAAGGATAATTCTAAAAACTGATGGCGTTATTCGGCTATCCGGGCCCTAAAATGTTCTTGTGGTGGGTCTGCTCAAACTCGGTACATGGGGGTTATTCGAGCCGCTGATGACGAATATCGTAGTCATCTCGCGTGGCACGGGTAAAAATCATGAACCTGCCTGAAACCTTGGCAGGGAATTACCAAGAGTGCTCTTTCAAAAATATCGCGCTTAATCCCCACGATAATGGCAATTCGTGTGGTATAAAAGTTTCCCACAACCGTAATGCCTTCCTTATAGGACCACTGCCGCGCGCGATACACCCTTCGGCGACTTTTGCCTAAGTAAACATGGAGAGGGAGATTTCGTGCGTTACGCGTTGGGACAGGTTATCAGAGTGGCGCTGGAGATCGCCATGCAAAACGACCGTTTCCCCATTTTGTGAATATCCGGGATCTAGATTGGCCCGAAAGCGAAAAAATGTCCATTCAAACCCTGCAACTCACCATAACTTCACAATAATGCGTTATGACAGCTGCAAGCATCATTTTCATAAGCAGTTACTTGTGAACCGTTGCAGGTAAGGTTTTGAGCAAATCTGAAACTTCGACCCATCTACGCCCACCGTAATCCAAGAAAATGCACTATCCTGCGAAATCAGCATCATCATGTTCAGCGCGCTAAATGACTACCCTAGACGAAGTTTAAAGCAAATCTATGTTTTCGACCCCACACCATATAATCACCATAACTCTATGAAAAGATCCCAACGTGCAGAGAGAGCATGAAATTCGTAATCAGCATGTCGAATAAATTCTCTGGACCGAACTCTAGTCGAGCTCATGATTTTGACTTCCTACTGCACACCTACCGTAACCATAAGGGGAGACGTTCTGCGGAGAAAGTGTGATATCTGTAATCAGCATGTAAGATAACCCTTATACACGAAATTTGAGCAAGCCTAACGACAAAAAAAATTTTGAGACCCGGATAGCCGCCAAACTAATATTGTACTTGTACTCAGCATGCTCGTTACCCTCCCCCCCCCTCCCCTCCGTGCCAACTCCCGGCCCCGTGGCTCAAACTTTGCGAAAGATAAAATTGATAAAAATAATCGATAATTCTGAAAACTAATACTGTATTCGGAATCCCCATGCTCACTTACCTCCCTGTGCCAACTCCCAGCCCCATAGGTGAACTCTGCAAAAAATCGATAAAAATCGATAAAATGGATATCGATCGATAGCAAAAAGTAGCCTGCGACACCCGCCCCGCCACGAAGTGTATGTGTGCCAAGTTTGGCCCGGATCGGTTCAGAAATAAAAATTTCTATTCGGAACATACGTACATACAGACATACATACAGACATACAAACAGACATTCAGCTCTATATATAAGATGCTCATTGCAAAAATCACAATGATTCTGCCTGGTGGGGTCATGCTTGGAAAGTTTACTGTATTTGTTCTTGTACTGAGGACACTTTAGGGGGAGGGAGTAGTACTGGCGGTGTGTGGCACACCTCTTGCTCGACCCAGCTAGCAGACTAGTCTTGTTGGGTCTGTTTAATCACTAACCTATGCACCAAAAAGCTTGCGTACTTTCACCGTTGATCATACACTAAGGCTTTTCTGAAGTTATTCGAGTCTTTAACAAAAGATTATACTTGTAGTTAACTTGATTGAGCGTAATTTTACAGTTGAAAATACATTCTTATGGACAAACGTTTCGACACTATTGCCTTCGTCAAAGCCTGGGAACCGAAAACCTCGCTGACATCAACAAAAGACTCAAGGGGTGGCATGCATTAATATCCCCGTTGGTGAGAGGATTGCAGCTTAAATGAAAGCTTCATATCCTGGAGTTCTGAAGATCTCTATTTCCGCTGTCTACATCCGCGTGTCGCTGTTATCCTTTACCATACCTTCGATACATAGAGCCATGTACTCTGGTAACGTTCACTTTGAGCGTCATGATAAAACACGGCCTTCACCTGGAGAGAAGAACAGAAGTCATCTGGGGCGAAGCCCCGGATATTATGACATTATCAATGACATAACCATATAAGAATGAATATAAATGAGGCAAATATTGCAGAGATATCCAAAAGAAGCTCAAAAAACCGATGCATTGCGTTTTGTTGGTCTTTTTTGCTGAAAACAAGGTTTTTATTCGAAAATTCAACCAAAAACTAGGACAAAATTTCTCCTTTAACCTTCCTCTAAACTGCGACCGCGCGTTAGAAGTCCATGAAAGCCCTGGAGTTTAATGAAAACGAGAAACTGCGCTCAAATCTTGCGCAGAGAGTCGCCACACAAATGCTGGTCTATCTCGTTATGTAGTGATTTTAAAGACCCGCGACGTTGTCAGTGCTCCTGGCCGTATCATGAGGATTACAACAATATATAATGTTGTAGGGTTTCATTATGACCCTGCAGAGATCAATGACCAGAGCCAAATGCCCCGCCGGCTCTGGTCTGTCTCCGCTGCTCGTCTGCGTCTCCGCACGTTGCGCGCTACCTCGCTACCTCAAATGCGGGGCGCGGGGCATTTGGCTCTGGTACCCCTTTCTTCGTTGTTCGGAGCCCAATTTCGACAATCTATATATCATATTAAAGCTCCTGATCTCTATTTTTACGCTGACAACGTCGCAAGACTCCTTATTATGATTAAAACGAGAAATCTGGGAAAAACGGCGTTTTCGAAAATCTCTTGTTTTTTCTTCAATTTAACTCTTTTCAATCGGTTTTTTGTGTATTCGATAGGTCTTGTTTCTGTCTATGATGTAGACAACGTCGCCGAGCTTACTTCTTTGCTTATGTCAGTTTTTTTGGGAAAATTACTAAAAAGTGCGCTTTTCTTTACTTTGTCCTCTTTTAGTGCTTTTGCAACGAATTTTCTTCAGCTTGGACGATACTTGCTCAGAATGATGAGCAGAAGAATCCAGACAACGTCGCAGGATACGAAACGACTATGCGGGGGTGGAGGACATTAGGTCGCCGAATTTGGAAGAGTCCCGCGCGGATTCCCTGCAGGAACGCATGTCCGCGCATGTATAAGGGTGCGTATTTGTCGCAAATGACCGCGGGGACCGCCCTTTTTCGGCGACCTAATGTCCCCCACCCACTATGCGGGGTTGAAAATTTAAAGGACGCATCAAAAATCAGATTGGCGTCAATGTGCAACATATCTTTCCAGACGTGTTTAACATGTTCAGTTCAGTTGTTGACAAGTTTTCCTTCTTTCGGTCTTACAACTACAGCTGCAGCTAAACAGCGTTTCTTTTTTTGAATGTAAAAGAACTTTGTTCTTGTTGCCACCTAATTTAACCGGCAATCAGAGGAAACTGTGCGTAGGAAACTTCCAAGATGAGATTTAAAATTTGGTGATGTGCTAACCTCTGCTTTACGTGAATTTTTCAAGTTTCCCGATTCATGTATCTCTAAATTTCCATCTAATTTTCTGAAACAACCTTCACTTTTCAAAGGGGGCAGGAACTCAAACAACTATCACTTTCTAGCCCCTGTCTCTTGACTATCGAATGTATGCTCTTTACTATAAACAGGGTCAAGCGTGGGGTGTTGCACGCCACACTTGGGGGGTCGTATTGAGGAGTCAAATGGGGAGAGGGTCGTAGTTGGATAATCTGATAATAGTGATAACATGATATTCGTATCCTATCCATAATTAGCATGTTAAATAACCCCTGTAGACAAAGTGTGAGCGATTTCTGAAGGTTCAAAATACTAGGCTACCTAAGTGAAATGGTCAAATTCCAACATGGTTAAATTTGTTTCAAAGGTGAATTAGCTATCCGTTTTTGCACTCAAGACAAAGCACTACTCCTTCATTGTCCATCTCAGAATTCCGCTTCAAAAGACCTCCAAACTGTGGAATTAGAAGCCAACCAAAATCTCATTTTTCCCATTTTCTGCTTTTGATGGCTGTGCTTTCACCAAATATACTCAGAGCAAAAAAAAAACGAATCAGGCTCAAATCACTCCTGTGAAAACTAGGAGATCTAGGCTATCGATCCATATAAATACGGTTTCCTAAAAATGTTTTTATGACATAGTTAATTGGGTGGGCACACTCCCTTGAAAGCTGTGGCTGCCACAACTTTTTAGGGGTGGTGCCACACCCCATTAACTATACCAAAAACATTTTTAGCGAACAATATTTATTTGTATCGGTAGCCTAAACCTCGTAGATTCCATAAAAATGTTTTAAACCTGATTCGTCTTCTTAGCTCTGAGTATATTTGGTGAAAGCACAGCCATCAAAAGCAGAAAATGGGAAAATGAAATTTTGGTTGGCTTCTAATTCCACAGTTTGGAGGTATTTTGAAGCGGGATTTCTAATGGACAAAGATGGAGCAGTGCTTTGTCCTAAGTGCAAAAACGGATAGCTAATTCGCCTTTGACAGAGTTAATCATGTTGGAAAATGACCATTTCACTTAGGTAGCCCAGTATCTTGAATCTTCAGAATTCGCTCAAACTTTGTCTACAGGAGTTAATTGACATGCTCCTTATGGATATGTTGCCCATTATGATTACAGGGCCTAAGTCTTGGGTACATAATTCAGGGGGGGGGGTCTTATTAAGACAGCAATCAGGGGGGGGGGGGGGTCAACCAGCGATCGTGTGCCACGTCCCTTGCTTGACCCTGAGGATTTCCATGCATGGTCAGTAGTTTACCGAACTCCTACTTGGAAGCTCCGAGATACGCTTCAGTTGGCCGCGATAAACGACCCACTCTTTCTCGGGTTTCCCAGCGTTGAGTTTTGTGCTAGTAACCGAGAAACTAGAGACTTTTAGCTTTTAAAAGCGACGCTGTGCTTTTTCCACGTTCTACTGCGAGCCTTCAGAAGCCTTCAAAAGCAAATTTCCAGCGTTCTAAAAGCTATATTTCCCAAGAAAACCTTACTTTGACGTAAGAAACTCTTGCAAAAAGGCAAAAATATTCTTGAAATATATTTTTAAAAACCAGTGCTTCTCGAAAACAGCTTGCTAAAGGCTTGTGGTAAACACTTATTTATGTGGAAATAACACAACTTCGCTTTTCTGGAGAACGGAAAATAAAATTTTAGTTCTCTTGGTTTTTAGTCCAGTAAGGTATACCGAACGTATGAATGCCTAATATGGAGTGTACGTGCGTAGGCAAGTGTGAGATCCGTTAAGTTATCTTTGAGCGAAGATATTAGGTCGGTCCGAAAGATAGTGCCGTTTTTCAGTCCCATGCGCAAACCACCTAGAATAAAGATAGACAAACGCTGTAGGCACATTCCGATGCATAAATTCTTCCTCTTTCTAGTAATTATGTTTTTGTTGGAATTCTCTCAATGTCCGCTCAATAATCGGCAGGGATCTCCAATCCATGATTTTCACCCATAATCAGTTTGACTATTTTATAAAATTTCCATTTTCAACTTCTGGACTAGCTTTGATAACAATTAAATAGAATAAGCAGCAATGCAATACAATTTTCGGCTTCTCTAGCTAGCTTCTCAAAATTATTTGGGTGGAGGACTATATGTCGCCGAATTTGGAAGGGTCCTGCGCGGATCCCTGCAGGAACGCATGTCCGCGCATGTGTAAGGGTGCGTATTTGTCGCAAATGACCGCAAGGACCGCCCTTTTTCGGCGACATATAGTCCTCCACCCAAAATTTTTGAGAGTATTTTACCGGTGTTCTCAATTTCCATATTTGGGCATTCAATGCTCACAGAACAAGAAACGGCAAGCAGCCAGGGTGTCATTCGATGCAGCTTATTCTCGTTTTTTTGATAGACTTTTTTTCCTGACTTGTGTAACTGAGGATAAAACCACTTTAAAGCGTGTTTCCAGATGTCCCAGATTGTATTCAGAAAACTCGGAATCCAATATTTCGAAACGCTAAACGCCAATTGCTTGCTAAAATCAGCGTTAAGTCTTGAGCTGTTTTTGGAAGTTTCTAAATCCGAAGATCTGTCAGGGTTTGAAGCGAATGTGTATTTCACGACTCCGCAAGGCCTTTTGAAAAATTACGAAGAAGTACTGAAATGTTAGATGAAGAAGCTAAAATAGTTCATTGTATTGCATTTTGTTTACTCTATCCAACCGCTTCCAAAGGTAGTCCAAAAGTTGAAACAAAAATTCAAAAAAAATAAGCTAGACTCAAGATGGGTGTTGGGAAATTGAAGATTTTTGCCGATTATTGAACGGCCATCAATGGAATCCGTACAAAAACATAACCGTTAGAAAGAGGAGGAAACTCTGCATCGGATAGTGCTTACAGCTTGTGTTTATCTTTGTTCTAACAATAAGTGGTTTGAGAATGAGTCTGAAAAACGACACGAGCTGTGGGACCGTCCTAATATATTAGGTCATTTCAAAAGTTCGTTCGCCAGTTTTTCAAAAATCATAAGTTCCACCCTTCTCGATAGATTTTCCCAAATTTATATCTGTTTGAAAGAAAAAACTATGCTCTTTACAGCAGTGCCTCTGCCGTGAGTTGATATGAGGAAATTTAGAGTTAGAAGCAGGAGAGTTAGAAGCATTTGAAGGAAATTACTTAAGATTGGCATTTTTCAAGCAGAGTCACGAAGAAATCTGAAACTATCTTTATTTGAAAGAGAAAATTTTGCACATTATAGTGGCGCCCTTCCCATAGATTTTTATGAGATAGTTCACGACTTAGAAGCATTTGAAGAGCATTACTTCGATTTTGCAATTTTTAAGCACGCTCAAAGTACCTAAAAACGTCGCAGCAGAGATCGAACAGTCATAAACATTGGTATCATGACCTTCTCTTTCTGGCTAGGTGAGTTTCGTGCTAATCGAGAGCTTTTGAATTTCGTGAAAACGAATAGCAAGTTCCTAAAAATCATTACTTTTCATTAAACATTCGTTAAGGAAAAAGTGTGCCTAGCTAAAAAGACGAGATCATAAAACATATGTTTGTGTTCCTTTCCGTATTTTGTGTAACACTTTAAGATTATTGGTGACTTTTTTGAAATTACCAAAATTTGAGTGGTTTCCTTTTTGCATTTTTAACTCTGCGACTTGTGCTTGGTAGAATGAATTTAAGCCATAGTTAGAAGCTCAAGATCTCTTCATTCCAGAAAAATTTAACCCAGGCAATTCCAAGCAGATAACAGAGATTTACGATTTTTTGAAAATTATGCGAATGAACTTTCGAGATCACCTAATATTAGGTTGTCCGGAAATTAATGCAGGTTTTGAATAATTCCAACCGTAGTAAGTCATACACTTCTCATTTCTAAGTAGGTTGCAAAGTACCATTCGATAGAGCAAAGTAAGCTCTACAAAACGGCAATCTTGCTTTAGCAACAGCTCTGAACCACCACGAGTTTCGAGCCAAGAACTAAAAAGATTCAACTGTCTGAAAAATTAAGAAAAATCGTAACTCAGTTCATAAAAGTCCTACAAAAATTCTAACTCGCTCACGTAAACACAATCAACATAGAGCTTCTATATACGCTACTGCCATATTTCTTTCTCTGTTAGAAATCAAGAAAACGGAAATTTTCACACATTTGCCAAAGTAGTGCTGTGGTGTTCCCACATAGGTAGTTGTATACCCCAAACCTGTAGAAGTATAAACGTAAATCTCTACAAGCTCTAGTCCTCGAGATATATCGGATACAGTTTTCCCTAGTCATGTGGTCCAAGCTAAAATTCAAATTTCTCGAGAACTAAAGCTTGTAGAGAGCTGGAAATTTATGTTTATACTTCTACAGGTTTGAAGTATACAGCTACTTATGTGGGGACGGCACAGCACCACTTTGGCAAATTTACGAAAATTTCCGTTTTCCTGATTTTTAACAGAGAAAAAAATATGGCAATGGCATATATAGATGCTCTGTGTTGATTGTGTTTACGTGAGCAAGTTAGAATTTTTGTAGGATTTTTATGAACTGGGTTACGATTTTTCTTAATTTTTCAGACAGTTGAATCTTTCTAGTTTTTGGCTCGAAACTCGTGGTGGATCAGAGCTGTTGCTAAAGCAAGACTGCCGTTTTGTAGAGCTTGCTTTGCTCTATCGAATGGTACCTTGCAACCTATCTAGAATTGAGAAGTGTATGACTTATTGCGGTTGGATTTCAAGACCTGCATTAATTTCCGGACAACCTAATAAATTGCTCTCAATTTTTCGGACATCCGAAACTTTCTGTATTTCGACTTCTGACTCGAGGTACGGAAGCGGGAGTTTCTACACGCCATTTTATTGATATTGTTTGCCTCCACCAAAAGATACCCCGCATCCCAAATAGATTTGAGATATGAATTTGCGCGCGAAAAAGAAAATTGAAAAATATTCGAGACAACCTAATTTATGCAAGAACTTAGTTCTTTATATGCGCCCTAATAACCCAGCCTCATATTCAAATCGCGTAGGAAATGACAAAGCGCGTGTCCCCTTTTTTGGTACACTCCTCCACATTACAAATATGCTGTAGATGTCGTCCTCGGGCTAACCAAAAGAGTTGCAAAGTTGCTCATTTCCTCATCAAGGACTGAGCCCTCAATCGACAAGACTCCTTTGATAATTGTTTCATTCGCCTTGAAGATCTGAGTATCTCATCTCAACGATAATTCTAGACAACAAACGGAATCGTCTGCAATACCAGCCACTCCCGATCAAACAGATGGCTTACCAGTTGAAGAGGGCGGGTCCCACATAGCATCAAATCAGTCTGCCGCAAGCAATTTGGTGAGCCGAGAGGGAAGAACAAGAGTGGAAAGCGCACCACCTGCGTGCCAGGTAGGGTTTGTTTGTGAAAAGATGGTTATCTTAACCGACATTTATGCTAGTTTGTTTTGGAGCAAAGGGCTATACGGCTATACGTTGCGGACGGGATGCGCTCACGCAAACATCTGTAGCAAGCCATGCATTTCTCCGTTACAGTCACCATCAGTAGTCCGCGCAGCAGAGCGTGTCGAAGGCATACCCACGTCTCACCTTCTATGCCCCCGATAATTTTCGTATTGCGAAAGGATGATCTTTCCAACCAAACTTTGAAGAGTTCTATTATACACGTTTTCCTAAAGCGCCCACATCTTTCTACCCAAATGCACTGAGTTGATTTCGAGGCGGTGTTTGGAAAATTCAGTTGTTGTCTTACCCGCGGTGTAATCATACACCAAAATACGAGTTCAGAAGCGCTCAAATTAACATCAGGACAAGTAAAGTGGATTTGAGAGTAGATTCGATATATAGTCTCTGTGGTTGCGCGAGGACATAATAGCTTGTGAAATTACAACTTGTAGACGCTAAGTGGCCATTGGGCGCATATTGCATTAACACGCATATGCTGTCGGTAAAGGAGGAGCATAAGCCTCGGGCATACGACCTGGGCAAGGCTGCGCTCGTACTGACTCGGTAGTCTAAGAACAGTTCCAGCACAGCGCTCATTTCGAGCGCCGTGCTGAAATTGTTTCTGAGCTTCCGGATCAACTTGAACGCAGCCTAAGGGGTACAGCCTCGAGCGGTGCAGTCCACACCCACGCGGTTACAGTAGCTGCAAGGTACAGGGATCATGCTGCGCACAATATCCACCTTTGCCATATCGATTTTTCTTTTTTTAGTGAGTATGATCATGTGTTTAGGCATGTGTGAGCAGGACCAGCCAGATAGTAAAATACACGCTAAAAGTGATAACAAAAAACTGTGTTCTTCATTCCTTCCGAAGCACATTAGAAGATCAGAAGTGCTACATGAGACTTCTAATCATTACGTAATATGTTTCTGGCAACAAGAAAACTTACAGAAAAATATATGTAATTTCTGGAGAAATGAACTACACTTGCGCGACACTATATGAAGCATAAGGCAGTTTCAGTTTCATACTGCAGTCGCGGCAGCTACTGCAGTCACACGGGGCGGGCAAAAGATATCGATCGATTGAGTGTCGTTGCTGCAGCGACTGCAGTACGAAACGATTCATAACATTTCTCTGAAAATGCTGTGAATCTCCTTGTGTCCGCCTGGGTAAAACTGACGATGTTTCTTAGGGACTTTTGGAGAAGTAAAGAAAAGAATGAGACAGAAAAAAAAAGCACAGAAAACATCGAGTGAGGCAGGGAGCATACTGTGGCGCTTGTGCGTCGTTGCATAATTGCACTGCGGGGGCTGTACTCGTTACGTAGATCCCTCAGCAATTACAGTCGCCACCCAATTCGGCGATTTGCCAAATGTATCAAATGTATTCTATATCGCTCGCAGACTTCACATGCTTAGTACATATAACAACTTTAAAGGACTTTTGGTTTTATGAAACACGAATATTCCTGATCCCACCTATTAGGTTGATCCATAAGTCTTGTACAAAAATACTGGAAACTCCTAGAAACCTAAAAAAATATTAGATTGATGAATTCCTGCATCAAAATAGGTACAGATTGCAACAATCCGGTATTCTCCTGTATCCTGAATAGGATTTGACATATAATTAGATAGAGATAGGTAGCTCTACAGAATGATGCTCAAACATCTACGGCAGCTTCACTCATACGGATTTTCAAGCCAGAAACTGAAAAAAAACCATGCGCTCAGTAATCCTAAGCCAAGGCGAAACAAAATTGCAACTCTGTTCAGACCGGGGAATTCGTTCATGCTTTAAAAAGATCCGAAACTTATGTGAAGTGACAAAACATATGCCTCAGACGATCTCAGGTCAGATCGCCTGGTGGATGGACTAAATCTGGAAAAGCTATTACTTCATATAAGTTTTCATATCTTTTTACATCATTCTTTCGCAAATAATTTCTACGCAAACGGTTCAATTTTGGTGTCATATGATCCTGGGTGCGTTGTAAACAAGCAATTTGCTTATTTTAGCCTTGCTTTCAAATCGCGCGCACTTTTCGCCATAGACGAGAGCATGTCAATCGTGTGATAAACTGTCCGAAAAACTTGTGTTCGACGCAATGGCGCTTATTTTTGACATCTCCTTTGCTTATGCTCCAAAAACAAAGTTCAGCCTGCTTTCAGACAATCTGTGCCGGGCCCTAATACTAGTCTAGAAGTCACAGAGAATTTGTAGTTGTGGAAGTCGGGGAGCGCCTTCGAGCGCCCTTCCAAGCGCCGTGCGGGCTCGATGGACACGGCATTGCCGTGAGAGGTCCCACCGGGAACGGAGCCGCGGGAGAAGTGGTGTGTGTTGAAACTCACTCACTTCGTGTCTCAGCCAGTCGACACCCCGCGTGTTTCGTTTCTCTGCCTCTTTTTTTCAGTATCTCGTGGTCCCTATCCTCACTTATTCTTTTTTTTGTGCTTTCGCGTTCTATTAGTGTTTTTTCCTCTGTCACCTTATTTGTCGTGCTGTCTGGCAATAAACGTGGGTCGGAGCTGTGTTTTTGTTTTCTGAGCCAAGGCATCACCTCGAAATCTCGTGTTTTTGGTACCGGGTAGATTACATGGGGGCCGAACCGGTTCGTGATACCAAGGCTCTGAGAAACAAAACTCAGCTGCCGGAATAGGATAAGTCAAGTGGCCGAACAGTTGCAGAGGCCATTATCGATCGATAGAGCAAGCTGTAGGAGTACAGTGGCTTGAGTCGAATATCGATCGATAATTGCGCAATAGATAGAGCGCTTGTAGGCGAATTTATTGATTGAAGTCGACGTGCGCGGACCTTAGTGGCGACGGCGCCGAGCAAGATGCATACCGGAAATGAAAGTATGCTTTCAGAGATGCCCGAAACGAGCAGCAGCGCCAAGGCAACTGCACAAGGAGCCAGTGCAAGCAAAAAACAGGTTAGTGCAAAGGGTACACTGAGGAGTATAAGTGAGGGCTTGGACAAAATCAAAAGATTGATAGAACATTGGCCGAAGGAGTTGAGAAGGGAGACGGAGGACGCCAAGATAGCGGGAAAATATAGAGAACAATTAGAAAAGTTCACTGCGGAGCAAATAAGAAAAGTGGGTGGCAATTTGGATAAGTTAACAGATAAGCTAAAAAGGGTCTAGGGTTTTGCTAAAAGTGTATGCGGTGCTCTTTACAAAAAATGGATTGAGTCAGTTGAGGACGTAAGAGACTTTCTGGCCACACTAGAGAATAATGGGGAACTAGTGATGGAAATCTGTGATATGTTTAATACAAACGTGTTACAGCTGAAAACGGTATTAGCAGAAGTGGAAATTCAAGTGAGATCTCGTAAAGAGCCCGAAATGATGGACATCGAACCAATCACTAGCGGTCAGTTTTTGAAACAAGAACCCGTTTTGTTCCAGATGATGATATAGAAGTAGCAAATCAGTTTCAGCTAGACGTGCTAGACGCGACAGCCGTCCGCGTTCGACTGGGGATCGCTCAGAGCGGCACTTAAGACGGCCTTTGGAACTATCGGAGCCGGCCCCCAGGACAGAGGTCAGTCGTACAGTTTTATGGCTTTCATGCAAGCCAACGCATGCGTGAACCCTGGTATATTCAGAGGAGGCAAGCATAAAAGGTGTGATGAGTTCATAAGGGTTTGAAAGGAAGTATATAAGGGTAATCCAGAATGAATATATGTTAATCGGCATCCTCGGAGATGACCATTTAGATGGTAGAGCAAAAAACATTTTTCTATTTCTACCCCAAGAAGTGATGTCAGCAGGGATTAAGCGGGTAGTAGAGGAATTGAGAAGGCTTTTAGCTATTGACTCTATGGCGGGTAGGCGAAGGGTTCTAAGGGAACTTAGAAATTTGAGGCAGCGAGAAGGCCAGAGTGTAACGGATTTTTGCGTTGTACTTGAGAAAATTGGTAGGCAAGCCAATCCCACGGCTACGGTAGGAGACAGGTCCCTTGAGTACGCACAAATATTGATGGATAATCTGAAGGAGTGGCCAGAACATATACAGCTGCTCAGCGCTCTGCACAATGTGCAATCGCAAGAAGCATATAACGCAGTGAAACAATTAGCCTTGAGTGTCGCACAGTCTAAGGAGACTTTCGGATCTCAAGTAGGAAGGGCTAAGAACGATAAGTATAGCTGGAAAAGAAGGCTACGGGCATATGACGCTAAGAGAGACCACACGGTGACGGAAGCAAGACCGCCACAAGACAATATAAGAGTGGAGGCAAAGCCGAAAGGCACCCCGCTTAGAGGGAAAACAAGTGATTCAGTAACGGCCAATGCTCCAGACGAGAAAGTCGCCAGTTCAAGAAGGACCCTATGAGGTTGTCGAGACAAGACGGAAAGGCAGCACGTCCGCGGATTAGAGAAAGTGCTACAGCTGTAGTAGGTATGGACACATCGCGAAAGATTGTCCTTATAGGCGGACGCAGGTGAAACAAGTTGGGCAGGTAAAGAAAACGCATGAGCAAATGCGTGATAAGATGAGCCTAAGTGAAATTATCGACAACGCGAGAAGTTTAGGACTGAAGACCAGGGAAGAAAGTGCCCGTGAACCCTTATTGGGTAAGAAGTTTTCAGCCTGCATTACAATATTAGGTATAAGACTTCCTTCCCGCTGTCCTCGATACGGGGTCAATGATTAGTATAATACCGGTGGGAGTGTTGGCCAAGGCAAAGAAAGCAGGGTTTGACCTAGACAGTTTGATACCGAAGACCGAAATAGTTCCTGTCTTTGATGCTTCATCAAACAGAATGCAGTTTCTAGGTGCTGCAAGGATACCAGTGTCATTGGACAAAGGTAGAAAGAGCGTGGTAGCTTTTTATATCATAGATGTCAAATGCTCAAGGATACCAGTATCATTGGACAAAGGTAGAAAGAGCGTGGTAGCTTTTTATATCATAGATGTCAAAGACGACGACATT